ATAAATAAATAAACAAAGTAAGATCATCAGCACAAAACAAAAATGGGCAAAGCATCTTAAAAAAATCATAGAAGAAACATGCAATGGCTTTTAAGCACATCAAAGATACTCAACCTCATGAATAATATGCTATGGTTTGGATATAAGATGTCCTCCCAAAAAGCTCATGTTAGGTAATGGAGCAATGTTCAGTTAAAAGATTAGAGTGTGAAAGCTGTAACTAAATCAATGTATGAATCCATTTGATGGATGAACAATCTGAATGGATTTTTGGGTGGGAACTGTAGGCAGGTGGGGTGTAGCTGGAGAAAGTGGGTTGCTGGGGACATGCCTATATATTTTGTCCCTGGATCCTCACACTCTTTCTCTGCTTCCTGGCTGCCTCAAGGGGAGCAGCTTTTCTCTTCCATGACCTTCTACCATTGTGCTCTGCCTCACCTCTGTCCCCAGCAATGGAATCAGCGGACTTACACTGAAACTATGAGTCAAAATAAACTTTTCCTCCTCCAAATTGTTCCTGTCAGCTTATTTTGGTCACAGCAACAAAAAGCTGACTAACACAAAATAGAAGAAATGTGAATTCAACCTGTAAGATGACATGCAATTTTTTACTTGTTAGATGAGTAAAGATGAAAATTTTGATTACTGTGTGAAAGATGATATGAAGAAATAGGTAATCCACATATTTTTTTGTTTTGTTTTTTAATATCCACACATTGTTAGTAGGAGTAAAAACTGTCACCACTTCTTCAGAACAAGCTATCAAAATAAAAAGTGTAAGAGCTGTGTATAGAGGTGTGAACTTATAGTCCTGGCTACTTGGGAGGCTGAGGCAGGAGGATTCCTTGGGCCCAAGTGTTTAAAGCCAGCCTGGGCAACATTGTGAGACTCATTTGAAAAAAAAAATGTACACATCTTTTGATCCAATAAACCTTCTTCTACAAAATTATCATACAGATACACTAACATGTATGCACAAAATGTATTGGCAAAAAATTTCCTGCAGCATCTTTTGGAGAGCAAAATCTGAAAGAACCTAAATGGCTGTCTACAGAGAAGGAATATTAAACACAGTTATTGCATAAGTTGATAAATCACAGACAGTGATTCTGTATGTTGTTTACAGACAGTTTATATGTACATGAGATATCAAAAACCACTAAAAGAATGTAATGCATCGATGCTATGCTCACCTCTGGGAACAGGAGTAGATGAACAGGAGTGGCTAGGAAGGCCCCAGAATAGTTCAACCTCGTTTATAACATCTGATTTCTTTATGTAAGAAAAATGAAGGAAAGAAACAGCTGTGATTAAATGTTTTCATCAAGGCTGGACAGGGGAACTTCATATTGTACACTCTTTACTGTGTTTTTCCACAAAGCATGATACAGATGAGTGGTTATAAGATGGTATCAGGAACAGGCAGGGTGTGCTTGCTTATGTGTGAACTGCCTCCGGGAAGATCAACAAGGTAACTGCAGTTGACTACAGGGCAGGGCAGCAAGGACAAGCTGGTCAGGGGGGGAACTGATTGTTCATTGCACATTCTTACTGTTCACATGTTCAAGGGGTTGGTGATATAGCTCAGTGGTCTAGCATGAGCAAGGCCCTGGGTTCCAGCCCAGCACTAAAAAAAAAAAAAAAAAAAAAAGCAGCAACAGCCAGGTTCAGTGGTTCCAGAAGCAGGAGGATCATGAGTTCAAAGCCAGCCTCAGCAATGGAGGGAGGTCCTAAAGAACTCAGCGACCCTGTCTCTAAATAAAATATAGAAAAGGGCTGGGGATGTGGCTTCCTGGTACAAAAAAAAAAGAAGGAGAAGACAATGATGACAAAGAGGGGGGGAAAAACATAAGCACAAGACTGTTTTGGGGTAAAAAAGGTTTCTTCTCTGAAGCCTTTGCCTGAGGCTGGTAAATAAATACTGAGGTTGAGATCCTAGATGTGAGGGAGGTAGAAGGAGGAAGGGGGAGGGAGAGAGAGACCAGAGAGTCCCTGAGAGGAGCAGTGTGGGCTGAGCTGACAGCTGGAGCAGCTGTTACCACACCAGTGGACAAAGCAGGAAAAACCACTCGGGACTGAAGAATTCCCAGGGTGGCCAAGGTAAGTATATTTTAAGATAATGAGAAGGAAGCTAACTTCCCATCTGCTTTCCTGTCTTCAGGGTCAGGAGTCCTCAACTAGAGAGCAAAAATCTACAGTCAAATAGTGAAAAACAAAATAGGGAAAACTGAAACCCAGGGAAAACCTGAATAAACCTTTTAGTGTCACTTGCTTTTATTGTTTTTAGTTGACTTTAAAAATTCCCAAGTTTAGGGATTGAGGGTGTAGCTTAGTGGCAGAGTGTTTGCAGGAGGCCCTGGGTTCCATCCTCACTACACACACACACACACACACACACACAATCCCTAATAATTCTGGAGGTCATACTGTAAGGGTAAAAGAAATTGAAGTTAAAGCATAAAAGTTAAAGGGTAAAAGACCGGGTGTTGTAAAAGTTTCTAAGCTGCAAGGTCTGAGTTAAAATGTAAAGGATTAGGTATTGTTAGGTTTCTATGCTACCTGCAAAACCTGAAATTTCTGTAGCTGTTAAGACAATGCTTAGAACCTCCCAGTAAACATTTCCCCTGATTGTCTGGTTGTTTAATAACTGAAGGGGTCTGTGTGGTTGCACGTAGGCCTTGCAGGGCCTGAACCAATCAGTTTGAATGTGTACTCTCCTTAGGAATGACCTATCACTCCAGCCTGACCTGTTCCCGCCAATGAATGAACTAATCATGTTTAGGAGTTGTTGTTCAATTTTCCCGCGCCTCATGATGATTTGTTCTGATGTATACAAAGCCCTCCGCCCTCCCCAAAAAGTGTACTTAAGTAGTGCTCAGCCCCTGCTCGGGGCTCTGGGCTGCTTTCCCTTCTTGAGTGGGCACGGAGCCCCAGCATGCTGGTTCAATAAATCCCCCTTCTGCCAATTGCATGAGTGGTCACTTGGTGGTCTCTTTCTCCAACGTTTCGCGGGACCCTTACAATACAGCTGAGCTATACATTAGTGTCCCATTAGCTTTGCTGTAGATAACACCTCTGACTTGTGGGTTATGATGATAACAGTTGCTTAGGAAGCTTTTCAGGGACTTGAACTTTTTTGGTTAAAACTACCAACTTTTCATTTACTTGGACCTGTGCAGTTTTTTGCTTCTTTGTTTGTTTTTTGAGAAGTGACCTTTTGACATCAGGACCCCAAAACTCCACCCTCAGATTACACTAACCTGCCATTCTTTGAACGGGACACCCTGATTACTTCATCTCCAATCGCCTTTCCCCATGCCTCAGAACACCATGCCACACTTGGCTGCCTTGTGTATAAACTTTCTCATTTGCAAAACTCATTGTTTCAGTGATTAGCAGAGTGAGCAGAAGAAAAAAAATGGGCCTGGTTTGGTCACAAAACTAAAAATAACCATGGCTGAACTTTGTTATGCTAAGTGAAATGAGCTAGGAAGGAAAGGACAAATACTCTGATTCTACTTGTAAGGAGACATCCTAGGTATTCCTGGATACTTCCAGATGTCAAATTGAGAGAGAAAGTAGAATGGTGGTTGCTAGGGGCTAGGGTTGGGGAGTTGGTGTGTAATGGGTACAGAGATTCAGTTGGGGAAGAAAAAAATATTCTGGAGATGAATGGTGGAATGGTGGTGATGGTGGCACCAATGTGAATTTGCCCTATGTCACAGAATTATCAAGTGAAAATGGTTAGAATGTAAATTTTGTGTTACATATATTTTACCACAATTCAGAAAAATAGTTATATACCCTGTTGACTGAGAATCCTGACAAATCTAAAACCTTTAGCTAGACATTTAAAAGTGTGGTGCTTAGGGTTGGCATTGTGGCTCAGTGGTAGCGTGCTCGCCTAGAAAGCGTGAGGCCCTGGGTTCGATCCTCAGCACCACATAAAAACAAATAAAGGTATTGTGTCCAACTACAACTAAAAAATAAATTAAAAAAAAGTGCAGTGCTTAACTGGGCTTATTACCTCCTCTGAAGTGGCATCCCTTTCTCCACTGAAAAGTCTTAACTGGGCTTCTCCAGAAATCCTCACAATGGCTGATTTTGGACTGTCAGCCAAAGAGTCTCTGAAAAAGAGTTCAATGTAGATAAAGTTCCTATTTTCATGTCGCACTGTTTACTTGGCCACTGGCCAAGAAGATACCAGCACTCCAGGTGCTGGACACCCCCTTACTAGTTTTTCACAAACATATCCAGTATAGTACTTTAAAGAAATGTGCAAACAAGGCCTCTGGCCTTGAGCTGGGCTTCACAGAGATGTCTACATTTTTAAGATAAGTTACAAATGGGCTCCATGGTAATTGCTGGCAGGGGGAGGAAAGAAAAGAGAGAAGCTCTCCTCTTCTCGGGTGTTGTCCTTGAAGAGTTAACTTGCCCGGAACAGTGAAAGAAAAAGCTGCTTTTATATGAACTTCTGAGCCCCTCCCCTTACATGCTGGGTATAAAACTCTGAAACTACCTGAACTTGGGGTTCAGGGGATTAATTGATTACAGCAAAAGCTGTGCCCTCTGAGCCTGGCTGCAGCCAAATAAAATTGTTTCCTGCTATCTTTGGTGCCTGGCCTCATTTGTCCCTACAACATTTTTGGTGATCCAGATGGGACAGAAGAGGTAAGGAAGGCTATTCTGCCTCTCTTGTCTCTGGGGACTGACTTCCCTGGGGCGATGGAGGACAGCAGTCCCCTTGGCTCGCCTAGACCACTTTTGGCCTGAAGGATGATCGACTCACCCAGCGCCTTGGGGCTTCCACCCTGAGCACAAGGAACCCACAGGCAACAGGAACCAGAATTAGGGCTTTGGAGCACTGCCCAGCTGAAAGGTAGGACCCAGGTCCATTTGGTTTTGCAACCCACCTGACTTCCCCTTTGTTGGGTGCAGAGCAGGCTGAACTGTGTTGTCTGCAGGGCAGGCTGAACAGATGTTGGCTGCAAGATAGCCCTTGCACTCAAACCCCCCTCTATCTGGTCCTTTATCACCTGTTTGCCTCAGTCTGAACATTCAACCCTGCTCAAGGCTGAACACTTAACCCCCCATTGAGCCAACAAGGCAGCTTGCAGACCCAGAGGCCCCATTAGATTTGGGCTATAAAAACTCCCTCCTGCCAGGCCCCCCTCTCTTTTGCTATCTCTCTTGCTTTCTCTGTCTCTCTCCTGCGTGTGCTCCCTCCCTCTCTCTCTCTTTCCTTCTTTCTTTTCTCCTCTGTTGCACTGCTGCAATAAAGATCTTGTGGTTGCTCTGAGTGTTGTGGTCACTTTCCTTTCATTTGGTGCCGAAACCCGGGAGAGGGTTAAAACCCACTTTTGGGTCCCTCTTCCTTCGGAAGTGCCACTCACGGGACGGCCTGAACCCATTTTCTTGATCGCCAGAAATCCATGCACCACGGACCTTCAATTGGTGAGTTTCCCCTTCCTGGAGTTCTAAACCCAATGGTGGTGTCAGGAGGATTTGACCGTTGATTGTCCAGCAAACCTCTTTGCCCACCTGCAGGGAGGAAAACACCCCATCACAGCCTTCAAGGCCACGGTGGCCCTCAGGGACTCCTTCCTAGGGCAGAATAGACTCCTGGGTTCAAAATTATTCCCTTCCCTTCCCAGCTGGTAGTTTACCAGCATTGGCTTTGTAGGTCTCCCTCCAAGGAACCTCTGGGAACACATAACAGATAACCCAACATCACAGTCCACCCAGATCTTCACTGTCTCGGTGGCTCTCCTAAAATCCTAGTCCTCACACCTTCAAGACTCAGCCGTCAGAGAGACCCTTACCCTCCCCTTCCTCTCTCTTCCCCTCTCTCTTTACCCTCTTTCCGGCCCTGGGAGTATCCGGCCTCTCCAGGAGGGGTCCAGAAAAGCCTTGGCCAAGGTCTCCCACAGCTCCGGCTCCGGCTCCCTCCAGGACGAGAGCTTCGACTGTCAGGATTTGGTGACGACCAATCTCTGCAGCTCGAACCTGCCACTAAGGCACTCCTGATTTTTGGCTCTAGTGGGGATGCCCCTTTTGCCAATAAATCAGTTTCCCCTACAATGCCTCTTGGATAACCTCAAAACCCTCTCCTTGACACCAGACATAAACCCCCCCAAAATTGATCAAATATAGCACCCAGGCCTGGCCCACTTATCCCTTAGACAGCCAAAGCAGATGGCCTCCCTTTTGGGTCCCTGGATCCCTCCATTCTAAGGGATCTCTACAATTACTGTGAGAATTCGAAAAAATGGGTAAAAAGCTGCTATATCAAAGCTGAGGAGAGCCCTTGGACCCCTATCAGAGATCTGGTGAAAATGGCCTTTAAAGTTGCTTTGTCATCACTGAAAACAGCTTACTAAGAGTTGTCCCTTACAGGGTTTTTGGGATATTCACTCCCATCCTCCCCTCTGCTCTACCTGTTCTACTGCTCAAGTTTTCCTTGCTAGGGAAAATCCCAAACCCCTTTCCCATTATTCTTTTACATCTCTCCTTCCTCATTCTCAGATCCACCAGGAGCTGCTCTCAGCCCTGCCTTCCCGTCTTCCCTCTCCCTACCAGGCCCACAGAAAAGTCTTAACTGACCTTCTCCAGAAATCTTCACCACGGCTGATTTTAGGACTTTCAGCAAAAGAATCTCTACAAAAAGCTTAATGTAGATAAACTTCCTATTTTCCTGTTGCCCTGTTTTACTTGGCCACTGGCTGGAAAAATCAGCACTCAAAAAGCTAGACACCCCCTTACTAGTTTTTCACAAAATATGTGAACAAGACCTCTGGCTTTGAGCTGGGGCTTCACAGAGAAGGTTACATTTCTAAGATAAGGAAGTTAACAACTGGGCTCCATGATAACAGCTGGCAGGGGTGGGGAGGGTGGGGGGAAGAGGAGAGAAAGGGAAGAAAAAACTCTCTCCTTCCCAAGTGTCCTTGAATGGTTAACTTGCCCACAACAGAGAAAAACAAACAAACAAACAAACAAAAAACTGCTTTTTATGAACTTCTGCAGACTGAACTTCTGAGCTCCTTCCCTTACATGTTGGGTGAAAATTCTGAAACAACTAAACTTGGGGTTCAGGGATTAATTGATTACAACAGAAGCTGTGCCTTCTGAATCTGGCTGCAACCAAATTAAACTATTTCCCTATCTTCATTGCTATCTTAGGTGCCTTGTCTTGTCCGTCCCTACAACAGTATAATTCTATATACCTAAACATTGTTCATGTTTTCATGAAATGGTCAACAGATGTGATTAATTGTGTGTTGCAAATAACAAAATATCTCTTATTAAAATGGAATAATTTGCCTAAATTCAGAAATTTACAAGGATTGTTTCAAAGTGTGAATAAAGAAGGAGTTAACAGATAGGAAAGGTGAAATTAGAAGGTTCTAAGTATGGATTTAATAGAAGGAAAATATGTTTCTAGATAAGAGAGTCTATATGATTAAGTAAATAAGAGGGTTTAAGCAAGTGATAACTTCTGTGTACGTTGGCTATATAGGTTTAAGTAAGTGCTAATGAAGGTCTGTGTATACAACTATGGTTAAACAACAACTGTTATTTTGCAATATTATAATATGTTATTTCTTTAAAAGCTAAACTTGATTAATATAAAAACATTAATAATAATTGTGGTACTATTACTCTTCTTTGTATATTAAATGCATTCATTTTTTCCAGGTATATGTCATTAAGATAGAAGCTTTAAAAAAATTATATCAAGCTGGTGTTCTCCAAAAGATTGCATGGTTATTTTAGGCTTATAAAAATAACATATTGGAGATTTATTTATATCATTTAATGTTCTATAACTGGACCTGTTATCAATAAGATTAATATAAAGTTCTATACACTGGGTACAATTTAAATGTAATATACCGTATTACCTAGTATTCATATGACATCAAGCAACAACATGTATAAACTTTATAAAATGATATTTAAAAACAAAGATCAGTTCTATAGTAGAACACTTTACCTAAGATTTATAAATCTTAGCCTTACCTGAGATAAGGCTGTGCTTCCCATCTTACTACATGTCAGAATGACTCCAAAGTAGGCCAGACTTCAGCTAAAGCCCAATACTCTTAATTAGGGTGAAACTGACTTTGCTGGATGTTTATGATCAAGACTTAAAGTTAAATTAAAATGGCCAAGAAAACCAATATTTGGCTCTGGCCCTCTGAGTCAGTCTGAATCCAGGGAACAGGGAACTTCTCTAAAGAGCTTTGCAACTCTGGGCCACATAACCTCCTGATCAGGGAAATTATTGAGACCACTGGAGAATGAAAAGCCAATCAGTGCACTTGCTGTGAATAGGAGGGTCATTGGAGACAGGAGACATCTCTGATGCTTCCAAGGGAAGCCACATGGTCAAGCAAGGCCTGGACCCATCCTAGCGCAAATGGCACTAGCAGAACTAAGAAGCTGCTCTCAAGTTCCCCTACAAGCGACCCCTATGGGAACTCGGATGACTCTTAACAATAGATAGAAACAAAGTCAATTTTGACCAACTTGATCTTAAACACCTACCAAAACCAGTTAAGCCAAAACACAGTCATTCCTGGGAGTAATAAAGGACAAGAACAGCTAGAAAAGAGGAGACAGCAACTAAGCCAACAGGCTCCATGGGGAATGTTCAGTCAAGTATGGCCTTGGCTCCTCCCCCTCACAGGACCCCTATTAGTCCTCTCTATGTTTCTCCTAATAGGACCCTGTCTATTAAATTGCCTAGAGAAGTTCATGCAAGATCAGATACACAAATTCACCAACAAGCTGGTCAATCAACTACTTCTTTAAGACTATCAGCCCTGATGCCCAAGATAGAGACCTATGACTCATGATCAACTCCTCTGGCTCCAGAGACTCTGTGCCCATCTAAAACCATCTCTACGCCTAGCATGCACGAGGCACTGGGTTCGATCCTCAGCACCACATAAATGTCAAATAAAGATATTGGGTCCACCTAAAACTAAAAAAAATAAATAAATATTTAAAAAATATATAAATAAATAAAACCATCTCTAACCCCTTTTTCCAGTTTTCACAACACCTCTTTCACTTCCTAGGAATGAGAACTACTCTCCAGCATGTCCACTCTGCTTATTCTGTCTGCTCTACAGTATCCCCACAAGGGAGCATCAAACCTAAACTCCCCACACCTCAGATGAGGAGCCACTAGCCAGGCAAAAACTGGTAGATCAACTTCACTCATGTGCCTAGGCACAAAAAGCTTTGCTACCTATTTACTTTGGTTGATACTTTTTCAGGTTGGATAGAAGCCTCCCCTACATCCAGGGAAATTGCTAACAGTGTCACCTCCATTCTCATCCAGCAGATTATTCCCAGGTTCGAACTTCCCACCTCCATCAAGTCATACAACAATCTGGCCTTCACTTCTCAGGTTGTTCAACTAGTCTCCAAAGGTCTCAACATCATTTGGAGGGTCCACATCTCCTATTAACCCCAATCCTTGGGTAAGGTTGAGAGGCCTAACGGCATTCTCAAGGATCATCTCACTAAACATGCTATTGAACTCAGACTGTCCTGGCCCAATCTTTTGCCATTGGCCCTCACCCAAATTTGGGCAACCCCTTGAGCCCCCTCAGGCCTTAGCCCCTTTGAGCTGTTCTATGGGCGCCTTTCTTAATCATCCAAAGCTTTCCAATCACTCCTTCTCCTCTTGTGTCCTACCTGCCTAATCTCACACTTCTATGCAAACTCCTAAGGGAACATGCAGACCGGTGCCTTCCTGTTCCATTCATCGCCTCAATCCCCGCACAATTACCAACTGAATTGGACCCTCTTCAACTGGGTGACTCAGTCTTTCTTCAGGAACTGCATTTTCAATCTTTGGAACCTCAATGGATGGGACCCCATACAGTCATAGTTACTACCCCAATGGTGGCCAAGCTTTTGGGCCACTCCCCCTGGTACCATGTCTCCCACCTTAAAAAGGCACTTGTTCCAAATGTCCAGTCCTGGACTTCCACCACGCCCACCAAACTCAAAATTTCTTGCCAACCCTTTTCTTCTTTTACTAATCATTATTCTGTCTCAAGTTTTTATCTCAAACCACAGATACCTCTTCTACATCCAAGCGACATGACACCAGGATGACACCACCCACTCTCAGTTTATAGGTCAAGGAGATTGCCCTTCCACTGGATGCAATCAGTCTGTCACCCTTAACATTACTGGATTCAACCAAGCCACCTCCAATACTTCCTAGAGTCCCTGCTACAGGACCAGTGTCTGATACCAAGAATCTCCTCCATCCAGGACTGGTTTGATGCCATTGAGGACTTGTGGCTTCAAGGAACTTTTATGGACTTTACCCCTACCACAGTAGTTGTCTATAGCCACTGAGTGTTATTTCTGGCTGCCCTGGTGTTCTCAGACCTGTCCCCCGAATATTCCTCCACTCCCCCTTCTAGGTCCAACGCCACCCACCATTAAGCAGGAAGTAGCCAGAGGACTTTATGCTGTCCCCTGTGTCACTTAGAAAAACAAAAAGGGAGGAATGTTGGGTGCAGAGCAGGCTGAACTGTGTTGTCTGCAGGGCAGGCTGAACAGATGCTGGCTGCAAGATAGCCCTTGCACTCAAACCCCCCTCTATCTGGTCCTTTATCACCTGTTTGCCTCAGTCTGAACATTCAACCCCGCTCAAGGCTGAACACTTAACTCCCCCTTGAGCCAACAAGGCAGCTTGCAGACCCAGAGGCCCCATTAGATTTGGGCTATAAAAACTCCCTCCTGCCAGGCCCCCCTCTCTTTTGCTATCTCTCTTGCTTTCTCTGTCTCTCTCCTGCGTGCGCTCCCTCTCTCTCTCTCTCTTTCCTTCTTTCTTTTCTCCTCTGTTGCACTGCTGCAATAAAGATCTTGTGGTTGCTCTGAGTGTTGTGGTCACTCTCCTTTCACCCTTCAAGGCCTAAGCTGATGGAAGAGAGGCTTGATCTACCTCTGTGGTCCCGAGTACCCTCCAAAGTGGTTGGAGCTGAAACGGACCCGGGGAATCGCCCGAGTAGTCTCTGTTCGGGGTCAGCGAGCAGATGGGAAACCGTGACTCCCTTTTTGATTGGTTTGGAATTGTTGGTATAGAAATTCTATTCTGGACATGTCTGTGTGAATGAGACGGACAAAGGGAAGGGTTCCGACCCAACCCAAGGGCTGAAGCAAGTGCAGAGCCTGATCCGGGGTTCCGTGGCACCTCATACAGTCTATGGCGGAATTTCACCAACCAATGTCTAGGTGAAATCTCCAGGGGTGTGTGTGGGGGGTTTGATAGCGACCCACAAGGCCAAGAGGGCCCTAAATCCCTGCAAGGGGAATGGCTGGAGATGAATGAAGCAAGTCTTGTCCTAAGTGTGTTTTGTTCTAAGTGTGCGACACCGATGCAGGGTAGAACATGGGAGACACACTAAGGAAACTAAGCCTTCTGAAATGTGTGTTAGAAACCTTTAGGAAGGTTTTCCTGGTAACCGTGGGGTGAAACTCACTCCACAAAGTTTGCATACTCTGTGAATTAGAATGGCCCACCCAAGATGTGGGCTGGCTACCAGAAGGATCCTTAGATGAGAGAGTCATTGCTGAGGTCCTTTTGATTGTTGTTGGAACCTCTGAACCAATTCTCTTATATTGATTGCTGGCAAGAGATAGTACAGAAACAGCCCCCCTTGGTTGAGAGCCTGTCTAGATAGACAGTCCAAGCTGATGTTAGCCAGGAGCATAACCGTCTCTAAGACCCAGCAGAAAGCAGCTAAACAGAAAACCTGACTAGGAAAGACAGGAAAGGGAACAGTTTTCCCCGTGAGCCAGAAGAGGACCCAAGACCTTATGTGCCACTCTACCCAACTTTTCCAAGACCACTGGGACAACAGACTGTCCCCTAGCCCCCTTGTCCTCAGAGGCAACAAATGATGGCCCCCCAATACTTTCTTTCTTTTTTTTTTTTTAGAGAGAGAGAGAGAGAGAGAGAATTTTAATATTTATTTTTTAGTTTTTGGCGGACACAACATCTTTGTTTATATGTGGTGCTGAGGATCGAACCCGGGCCGCATGCATGCCAGGCGAGCGTGCTACCGCTTGAGCCACATCCCCAGCCACCCCCCAATACTTTCTATTCCTTCCTCTGTGATGTCCTCAGAGCCAAAGGCTTCCTAGGACCAAAGACTCTTTCACCTCCCAAGATTAAGGTGGGAGATTTGTTCCAAGACTAGAGCCACAACTCAGATGAGAACTCTCCAGATGCCCCTGCAAAGGACTAAAGGGCCTGCTCATGTTGACCAGAGGGAAACACCTGAGGGAGACAAGGCAGTTTTGTGTGCCAGCCTTTCTCTACCATTGAGCTCATAAGCTGGAAAAATCATACTCCCTCCTACACGGAGAAACCCTGGACCATGACTGATCTGATGCAGCCCATTATCCAGACCTAGGTCAGGGCCCCAACAAAGAAGAAGTTCTAAAGATAAAGAGATGTGAAGAAGATCTCATAGAAAGTCTAAAGGAAAAGAAAAAAAAGAGAACAAAGCACAGTCTGTGCTCAAGAGTTAGAAGGAATCAGAGCCAGCCCTGAGCCCTAGCCTAAGCTGAGCGCATCTGCAGACAAACAGAGCTGAGATAAGCCTCCCACTGCTCCAGCATCTCCCTCTGGAACCCCTTGATAACCCTGAACATTTCTCTCGGCCCCACATCTGCCTAAGGCCCCTCTGCCTTATGAAACTGGCAGAAATAATCAAAAGAGATGTGCCCAACTGACTCAGAGCTAAATGTGCAGGCCACTGCCACTGTTGCCCCTCTCCCTGCCCAGAGGTGCCTGGGGGAGGAGGGGCATCATACAAACATTGCAGCCGCAGTGCAAGTTTGTCAGTGAAGAAATGCACAGGTGCAAGCAACTGGTGATCAATGCAGTCTTTGTAGGACAGACTCAGAGAGCCATTGCCAAAAATTACAATCCTAGAGGACTTTACTGATAAGTGTGCCAGTGAGCTGATTAAGGTGGCCACCACAGTGTTCATTAATGGAAACCCAGAGACTCAAAGACAGGCAGACCAGAAAGATAAAGAGGAGGATGGATCTCCTTACAAACCCAGAGGTCACTCAAAGCGGGGGTCTCACTAGTACAAAGCCAATGGTCCAAATGTTTACAAGAAAAAAAAAAAAGCGTGGCCAGACAAAAGGGGAAGCCTCCAATGGCCCATCAGGCAAGCACCCACTGCTATGCTCAAAAGCTAAGACTTGAACAGAGAAGGAGTGAATGTTTTCCCCCAAGACTTTGGCCCCAACCCCTCCTTTCAGTTTCTTCCCACTTGCTCAGAAGTTGATGATTGACGAATATGGCAGGGGTCCGATAGATATGCACAACTGCATCTGATGCACGGGACCCAGCACCTCAGGAGGGCTCAGCTGCTGCAAGCCCCCAAATTAACCAGAAATATATTCATGTTAATACCCGAGAGTAGGCCATAGAGTGCACACTCCAAAGGACATGCCACCCTGGCTCCAAGCCACACTCTGTGAGCCACCAGCAGGAAGGGCCACAGAGCCCCATGCACCAGGCATACTGAACAAAAACACAAGCGGGACAGCTACTATATACAATTAGAGCAGGTGCCCACCTGGCAGGAGGATAAAGCCACACAGACAAAGAACAACACCTAGGTGGGTACAATGTGGCTGCCACACTGAGACCTGCATGGGACCACACCACTGCCCTCCAACCTTAGCAGAAGGCCCACAGCAAGATTTACATAGATGCCTTTTATACAAATGATGTCCCAGGTCATCAGTTTCTACTAAGATTTACATTAGATTGAAGAGTTGGAGAATCCTAACAGCCAAGATCCTGCACTGGGAGATAACAAAAAAAATTCCTGCATCTTAAAGCACCAGAGGCTCTATGTATGCCTCCCTTCCCTAAATGATAGTTCCTCCCAGGTGCTTGAGTACATCATCTTTGCAACAGCACTGTACTCTAACTTAAAAGTCCACATCTATCAAGGAAAAGTCAAATACCTTGGTTATCATCTGACTCAACAACAGAACAGAACAACCACTGAGCCTCAAAAGAAACAGGAGATCTGCTCAATTCTGGTCCCTTCAACCTGCCATCAGACTAGAGAATTCTTGGGGGCTCCTGGGTTCAGCCATATAGGGATCCCAACTTTCAGTTATGACAAAACCCCTGTATGAAGCCACAAAGGGGGGAGAATGGGATCTTCTAATATGGGGGTCAACTAAGCAGAAGGCCTTTAAGGACATTAAACAAGCACTCACCAGTGCACCTGGATTAGAGCTCCCTGACCTCATAAAGCCTTTCTTTCTGTATGTCCATGATCAGTCTGGAGTGGCTATGGGAGTTTTGACTCAGATGCTGGTTCATGGCAACGTCCAGTGGCCTATTTGTCCAAACAGCTGGACTCTGTAACCCAGGGCTCACCACCTTGTTTATGGGCCCTTGCAGCCACAGCTCTTCTGGTGTTGGAAGCTGATAAACTGGCCATGGGACAAGAACTGTTTGTCAGAGTTCCTCATTCAATTTTGACATTGTTAGAATATAAAGGACACTATTGGTTGACTAATGAATGAATGGTCAAATATCAGGGCATGTTATGTGAAAACCCATGTATCCGTGTTAAGGTCGTCAGAACTCTAAACCCAGCAACTTTGCTGCCCATTGGACCTGGAAAACCTGATCACAAATGTATTGAGGTCATGGATGAAGTGTTCTCCAGCAGACCTAACAGACCAGCCTCTCAAGGACGCTGATGCAGAGTACTTCACAGATGGAAGCAGTTTTATAAAAGGTGAGGTATGTTTTGCTGGATATGCAATGGTCACTCTGGACTCCACTGTTAAGGCAGAACCTCTCCCTCAGGGAACTTCAAACTTATTGCTTTGATTCAAGCACCTCAGTTGACAGCAGGAGTCTGTGTGGATATTTACATAGACTCAAAATACGCGTTCACTACCTTTCATGTTCATAGGGCCTTATGTAGGCTAATTAACTCAGAAGAGAAAAAAGGGGGGGGGGCATGATGTATGGGCAAGAAATTCTTAACTTTTGGATGCACTGTGGGCTCCCAGGAAGGTTGTGATTATATATTGCCAAGGTCATCAAAAGGGAAACACTGTGGTTTCTCAGGGCACCCAGAGAACTGACAGAGAAGCCAGGTTAGCTGTCTGCATGAAACGGGAAGAAAATCCAGTCCCAGGTTTAAATGCTGCCCTTCTGCCTGGCCGACTAGCTAACAGAATGGGAGCCAACGTATTCCCAACATGAAAGTAAGTGATTTAAGACTGAAGAAGAAAATTTTCTCCCAGGTGGATGGTGGAGATTTTCTGATGGCTGGAATAGACATCCAGGAGATTCTAGCCCCAGCCTTTATCAGGCAGTTTCAGGAAAACATGTTGGACATACAACACTTGAGACAGTTCTAAGTCAACATTTCTATGTCCCCTGGCTCACAAGCAACACCTGGATGATCTGCAAACAATGTGAGGTTTGTGCTCACAACAATTCTTGTCAGGGGCCAGAGCTCCCACCAGGAATCCAAACTATAGGAGGAGCACCTTTTGAAGACTTGGAAGTAAACTTCACTGAACTGCCACGCTCACAGGGCTATAAGTAACTTTTGGTTTTGTGTGTTCATACTCTGACTAGGTAGAAGCCTTTCTTACCTGCAGTAAAAAGGCTAGGGAGATACTAGGATGCTTCTCTGGGAAATTAATCCCAGATTTGGTGTCCCAATAACTATTGGCTCAGACAATGGGCCAGCTTTTGGGCAGAAGTGATACAATTACTGACCAAGAGTTTAAACATCAGATGGAAGTTACATACTGCATATAGGCTGCAGAGTTCTGGTAAAGTTAAAAGGATGGGCTGTGTAAGGAGTAAGC